AGTAGTCCCCATGCTGTAGTAATAAAGCATAGGCCTGCTATGTGATGGTTGAAGGCTCACTCAGACTAGCCCTTGATCAAGACTCTCAGTTCCATTACACATAAGAGTCATTGGAGGAAGGCATCTTCTGAGTTTTGTTAAGATCCCTGACGCTCGGCCTGAACATTAACATGCATCGCTTGCGGTACGGTTTTGGAAGCGTAAGGACCTTATCTTTCATATTAGCGAGATATAATTTTCAACAACAAAAATAATAGTTACATTGATTCACACCTTGATAGGGTTAGTGTTCCCACATGGCCACATATCCATGTTACAGCGCTTGTTTACGGAAAACAGACGGAAGACAAGAGGCGACCACCTTTGCTAATTAGCTATCTAGCATGCTCTGAACACCTGTGTGTAAGCGTAACTCAGGAAGTGTAGCAGAAGTGTAGTTTCGTATGGATCTTTTTTTATTTGAAGGATTCTTTCTCGCTGATGAAAGATACGGGCGATATGTTTCTAAAGCCATTTCGCAAGCTATGATTAATGAAGTTTCTAAACATTATACCTCAGCATCGGGATTGTAGTTCACATGAGGACGTCGTGGACGAAGCTAATGGCTGAGAGCTGTACCGAGAGTTTAAGAACTAACGTTACACTCAGACATACCAGCATTCTTTCTAGCGGTCTAAGAACCAGAGCCAGAGATATACACAGCTTGGTAACTATAGTAGTATACTCGATGTTGGCACCAACCATTCCATGACAATAACATTCTACTTTGCATTATTTCTAGAATTTATTCTTGGAACTTATGGTACCCATCAAGATTCTATTCTCAGTTGAGTTGGCCAAACTCTTTAGCTATGCTAAGCATTGGCCAAACTCTTTAGCTATGCTAAGGCATTGGCCAAACTCTTTAGCTATGCTAAGGCATTGGCCAAACTCTTTAGCTATGCTAAGGCATTGGTCTTGACTCATGGCATAAGAATTTGTATCACTCTCTCACAGCTAAACCCTGCTGTCATATTGGAGGCAGGGTTGATCACTTCGCTGCCACTTTTCCTAATAAAGCAGTACTGAGTAGCCTAACGTTAGTTATTTGTACTGAAATCACGTATAATGATGTGACTACTAAAGGCAGATCAATACAACTGTGTGAAAATAATTACAGCCACCCTAGTTGTTGTTGTTGCAACATCTCCACAACGTTCCACGCAGACAACGTTGTTAGCTAGCTGATGTGGCATAGCAAACAACTGTGTTACATTAGCCTGTTCGCTGTGGTCCCATAATAACATACATTCATTTTTGCTTTGTTGACAAGCTATCTGCTTAACTGACATAATATTGGCATTTAATTATTGGCCATATTTTTAACGAGACAACTTCACTCAACTAACGTCAGCTAGCTACTGTAGCTTTCTTACCTGGACTTCCCAACGCCACTTTCTCCAATTATTAATATTTTCAGTGTTGTCAAAACGTCGTCTTCCATCTTCGTATTCTATGTATAGCTGTAAAAATACACCCTAGAAGAGTTTGTTTGTCAGCAGGGGAGCTGAATGATAAGACAACCAACATTGGATACTTTCTCACACTTCCGGTTGCCTTGGTAGACTTCCGGTACAATGTTGAGCGAGTTCTTTTCTTTTCAAAGTTACACATCTACTAACTTTGCTTAAGTATCAAACTGCTTTTCATAACAATATAGTTGATTAACAGGCTAAATGTGATGTATATCTTGTTTTTTAAATTAATTTTCCATCAAACTATGGCTCCCCATAATAAAACCACAGAGAGGAAGGAGCTAGTTACAAGTATCTTTGATAAAACCATGCCTCCTCTTTCTAGAACTAACTTTGCAAAGCTAAAATAAAATAAGCATTACATGTGTCATTTAGGTGCTTTATTTAATAAATAAATTCAGAAACAGAATTGGGAAAAGTGAACATAATTTTGAAATAAAAAGGCTCTTTAAAAACAAGATGTGGCATGAGGCATTTTTGTATTTTAAAACAATTCCAAGAGGCCTTTCATTTAATACTGCAGATGAGAGGTTACCCCAGCCCAATGATTTCAAAAGGGGGAAACATCAGATTAAAACAAAATAACTTGTATCAATCAGTATGTCTTCAGAACAAAGTAGACAATTCGTTTAATATTGATCAACATGAAACACATGGGATAAGGCTTTGCAATGAAGGCATATATTTGGCTTTGCTTGGAATGAGTACAGAAAAGGACCTGAGGTTGAATACCGAAATCTTATAGAATAAAACTACATTATACTAAAAAGAAATGAAACTTCTAATTTTGTCACATAAATATATGTCAATTGATTATGTAATTAAGTGATTTACATTGCTTTATCCCGTTAATACAAGTGGTTTTCAATCCCTTTAAAATAGCCTGTTTATGACAGTTTTATGAAATAATTCATTTTTCTTATTTTCAGTACTTTTGCAAGGCAAAACCTGTTCTCATCAATAGCGCAATAACCTTTAACATCTAAACATCAATGCTTCCTATGTATTAGTTCTTAGAACATCTTCACACATTACATGGAACGCGTCCCAAATATAGCACATTATTCCCCATGTAGTGCACTTATTTTGGTCAAACGTAGCACTCTATAAACGGAATTGGGTGCCATTTGGGACGCACAATGTTACCTGATGACTAGGTTAGACTCTGCTATTGATGTGATAATCTTTAAAAACGACCCCAAATGATGAATCCATACTCTTGCAATCCTGCTTGATGGATGACTCATTTATCCACAAATTAATGTATAAGTATATAGCCCTGTCTGAGCCAGAACGGCCCACATGGCAGGAGCCTATCTCCTGTTTCTGTAGTTTGAGGCAGGTTGATGTACAAGTACACCCCCTGGACAGGATGCTAGTCTATCGCAGGGCCAAATCAATGTTTACTACATATTGTATGTACCCTATGGCTGAAAAAATACTTCACAGCCACAATGCAAAATATTGGTATGATTTAGTCTCAGGTCCTGTCTGACACTCAATGGCACAATCATAACAAGTCCATGAAGAGAAAGAGAGCACTCTCTGTGCCCATATAGGTATGGTCTCTGAAAGGCACAACCCATGGCCCATACCAGTCCTGTGGCAAAAATCTTCATTTCAACCAGTTCTTCAAAAGAAAAAGCACCTTAAAGTATATACACATAACAACTAACTGTACATTTTTAATGACAATGATTGCATAGAAAATAAACTGTTAGTAAGAAGACCAAATGTAGTGGCTGATGTAATGTTATAATACTGAAGCGACAAGAAGAAGAAATTACAAAAGACAAAATGACCCCCCCCCGTATCCCTCTCACGCCCTATAACTATATTTGCATACAGTGTTGTTCTGGGAGAACTGAAGCTCAATCATTTGCCTTCATATTTGGGGTTGACCACCGTTGTAACAGCACTCTTGTAGATCGGGTTTTCTCCCTGGAAGGCACAAGAGAAACAAGAAGAAAACGTTACAGTTGTAATTTACAGTCATTATACAGTACCAGTCAAAAGTTTGGACACACCTATTCATTCAAGGGTTTTTCTTTATTTTTACTATTTACTACATTGTAGAATAATAGTGAAGACATCAAAACTATGAAATAACACATATGGAATCATGTTGTAATCAAAAAAGTGTTAAACAAATCAAAATATATTTGAGATTTGAGATTCTTCAAATAGCCACCCTTTGCCTTGATGACAGTTTTGCACACTATTGGCATTCTCTCAACCAGCTTCATGAGGTAGTCACCTGGAATGCTTTTCAATTAACAGGTGTGCCTTCTTAAAAATTAATTTGTGGTATTTCTTTCCTTCTTATGGCAAGAACAGCTCAAGTGCAGTCGCAAAAACCATCAAGCGCTATGTTACCAGCCAGACTGTGTGAATCAGGCCTTTATGGTCGAATTGCTGCAAAGAAACCACTACTAAAGGACACCAATAAGAAGAAGACACCTGCTTGGGCCAAGAAACAAGAGCAATGGACATTAGGTCGGTGGAAATGTGTCCTTTGGTCTGGAGTCCAAATTTGACATTTTTGGTTCCAACCGTTGTGTCTTTGTGAGATGCGGTGTGGGTGAACGGATGATCTCCGCATGTGTATTTTTCCCACCGTAAAGCATGGAGGAGGAGGTGTTATGGTGTGGGGGTGCTTTGCTGGTGACACTGTCTGTGATTTATTTAGAATAAAATACATTTTGATTTGTTTAACACTTTTTTGGTTACTACATGATTCCATATGTGTTATTTCATAGTTTTGATGTATTCACTATTATTCTACAATGTAAAAAATAGTAAAAAATAAAGGAAAATCCTTGAATGAGCAGGTGTGTCCAAACCTTTGACTGGTAGTGTATATGTAACATGTCAGTCATATGACAACAGCTGCAATTTTATGAGGGAAAAAACCCACAGCAAAATCCGAGCCCATTTAGAATATCAAATGATTATCAAGCATTCTTGGGACAGATCTTGTAAACTGATCGTGCCATCACATGGATATCTTGGTGTCATTTTGAGTGAACATTCGTGTGTTGTCATCCAGGTAACACTGTTAGAAGAAATATCAACAAACGTCACAGACACAACATGCCATTTCAATCATAGCTTCAAATATGACACAATGTGCATACTGTGGTTAAACTGAAGTGTAATAGGCTTACATGTGACGACCTGTTACAGTACTTACCTTTGTTCAAACTACTAACAGAGGGGACAGTTTATGTTGACCCACAAAACAACACTTACATGGGTTTATTGTTGGTTTTAATATACCATCATGTGGATCTTTCTGCACAGTTTCCTCAACTGACTTACTTGGCCCAAAGAGAGACCAAATGAAAGCCAGAAATATTGAGATATATTAAATAGTGACAGCTTACAGTAAGTTGACAAACACAAATAAAGAAACACACAAACAAACAAAACCAACTGGAAACCCATGCAGGAAAACAGAGGAGAGGGAAAGTAAATACAAACTTATAGAACCGCAGCTTTACGTCCATAGAATGGATTCTGGAACTTATTAATAGGGCTCTTGTATATGGGATTCTCTTGCTATGGGTAGAGAGAGTGGGACAGACATTTCAGAACAGGAAAAAACAACAGAAGAGAAACAGAGACAGAATGAAATGAAAACATGGGTAAAGATAAATGAGAAGGAATAAAATAATGATATGGGAAAGAAGTAAAAAAAAGAATCCCTAGAGAAAGGAGTATTTCTACATCGGGATCAGAGGCTCAGAAGTTGATAATCATCTAAGAGGGCTGGGAAGATTCCCTTTCTATATGTATACAAGTCAGGTCAGTCTGCTCTCTCATACAGTCATTGATGTCTGATGTCTTCTCCATGTACCATGATGAGAGGGTCTAGAAGCCTCAGTGCCCTGCCCATTTCACCAGAGAAGCTCTCACATGCGGCTGGTCTGACAGAGTAATCAGGACGTGCTGAATCATCAAGCATTTCGGAAACCCTGGGTCACATTCATTAGGGCACATCACAGCAAAATGCTTTTCAATGGAAAATGAATATGAGTGTTTCTTACGGACAAGTCCAGGTAGTACTCTGTCTGTTTTCTTACATTTGGTGCCTAATGAATAACACCCTGCTGTCTGGAATGTAACCTCTGCCTGCAGTGTGGTTAACTCGATGCTAGGTGGCAGCAGAACACCACCAACCAAACTAGGCTTCTGTAGCCACTCCCAGGAAAATACAGATAAATAAAATAAAAACAGATGTATGTGTTTTCAAGGAGCTTCACATTCTAAAAAGTGTTCTGTTTTTTGGGTTCTGTATTTTGCACAGCGATGACTTCAAACTTTAAAGATATTTACTTCTGAAGTTGAAACTGAGTAGGACTGTCTGTGTGCATCTTATGAAATCATCAACAGGTCTGTTACAGTCATCAAAGGTTGAGATAGAGTACAACACTGTTTCCAACTCTGTATTCCTCTAGGAGTCCGTTCTCTGTGTAAGAGATTCACACAGTGGCCATATCTATAACAACTGTTTTCCATGTCCTACTGAAATTACAGTCAGGGAGAATACAAAACTAAGACCGGCAAAAGTACATCATGTGGTCCTCTGTAGCTCAATTGGTAGAGCATGGTGCTTGTAACGCCAGGGTAGTGGGTTCGATCCCCGGGACCACCCATACGTAAAAATGTATGCGCACATGACTGTAAGTCGCTTTGGATAAAAGCGTCTGCTAAATGGCATATTATTATTATTATCGCCATTACAAACTTCTCCAAGATGGCTGCCTGGTACTGTGTCTATTATCCACTCTCTTACCGTGTCCCATTTAGCATTCATCTTCTCCTTTTCGAACTTGGCAAACTCCCTCCTGTCGTGGATGATCATGAGCAGCTTCCAGATGAGCAGCAGAGCCAGGCCGATCAGCACGATGCCCGCCACAACGCCAGCCACGATGGGGATGATGTCAGGGCCCGCAGGGCAGTCTGGAACACAGACAGTGAAACACACAGCAAGAAAATTCAGTTAGCCCAATATTTTTGGGGGTATTTAACCAGGCAAGTCAGTTGATGTAAAATCAAATTCATATGCACAATTACATCCTGATTTGCATTATACTGTATCTAGGGCAAGGAACTTCTGGTCAGTTCTTCATGGTCAGGTCAGGTCAAGAACTCCTAGCTCTAATCACAAACACTACTCAATGTATAAACAAATAATCCCATTTTTTCACTCTTATATCCTCAGTCACAATGCCATGCCATAGACTGTATATGCTCTCACCTAGTGTTTCCACCACATGGACCTCCTTCTCTGTGTTGTTGTTGACAGCATAGGTGTAGTAGAACCAGCAGTCGTTGGCATCCCTCTCCTTACAGTGCATCAGGGGGAAGGCCTGTCCTGGCTGGGGCAGCTTGTCTCGGTCCTTCACCTTGATCAGGTTGAAGTAGCTACAGTCCCTCTCACACGTGTCCTTCTTCTCCCCTGTCCCAAAGGCCCTGCACTGAACACACTCCCTGTGGAAGACAGGACATTGACATTAAACTCTGTACAGATGGAGTAACACACGCAGGTAGTCTCACATTGTGATGCTTCCTAGACTTGTAACATATTCACTTGTCTATTGGAATGCAAGAAAGCTGAATATTGAGGTTCATGCAGGTGTCTATAGTGGGCAATGCTGTACCCTACACTCTTAGAAAAAAAGGTTCTACCTAGAACCTAAAAGGGTTCTTCGGCTGTCCCCATAGGAGGACCCTTTGAATAACTATTTTTGGTTCCAGGTAGAACCCTTTTGGGTTCCATGTAGGACCCTTTCCACAGAGCGTTCTACGTGGAATCAAAAAGGGTTTTCCCTGGAACCAAAAAGTGTTATTCTATGGGGACAGCCGAAGAACCCTTTTGGAACCCTTTTTTCTAAGAGCGTAGCTAGCACTACTGGTTTTAGATATCACAGTTGTGTCTAAACGGTCCATTGTTCCCTTTCTTGGAATGATCGGAAGAAAGGAAACAGAGCTCACAATAACAATGGAGGTTTAGTCGGATAAATGAAGAAAACTCTTGATGCCTATTTAAAAGGTTAAGAGGCATTAAACTAAGGCTGAGGAAAGAGAGAAGGAACCCGTCCCTTACAAATAAAAACAAATAAAAAGCATAATTAATTTCAACCATTACAATAAACCTTTATGTAATCCACACATAACATTCCCACAAGGAAATACAGCAATATTGTTGTTTTTTGCATAGCTAAAACAATATAAAATGATCAAATACAATTAATTAATTCCTTTATTCAACTCACTTGTGTTCTGCACAGACTCCTGGACAGGTGGGACAGATCTCACAGGTGGGCCCCTGGAACTTGGGGTCAGTGCACTTGCAGGTGCCACACTCACAGGTGCCCCGGCCATTACAGATCTGCTTGTTAGAGGCCAGGCAGGTCGTGGTGTCCAGAGAACAGTCACAGGCACTGCCCGTCCAGTTGGCATCACAGATACACACCCTGCACTCACAACGACCATGTCCTGCCACAAGACAACACACACAGGGTCAGAGATGAGAGATTACCCTGCAAAGATCAAATACAATCACAGATAAAAAGGGCCTAAATTAACGAGGGTAAATCTAATTTCATAACGGGCAATGATCTGTAATTTCATTGGAAATGGGCTCATTATAACCACAAACGATCACATGAGGTCACTCATTTGTGTGCAGAACAGGATGTCACACTTGTCTACAGATGGTAGCGCTTGGCCATCATTTCACAGTAAGCAAAATCTGTAATGAAATCATTTAACGCATTTATCTTCTTCGAAGCATGCCTATTGCACACCACAGCAGCTCAACTGATGACTTACCTCCACAGAGTTTGTTGTTGGAGCGGTCACAGTTAAAGTTGTCACACTCGCAGAACTTTCCATTGTAGCGTTCCTCTGGGTTCTCCCTCTTCTTACATTCGCAGGTTCCACACACACAGTCTCCGTTGTTGCTGCAGATGTCTGTACCATTGTCTTTACGACAGTTCTTATCCAGGTCTTCACTGGTCACTTCGTTGGTGCTGCACTCACACTGTCTACCAATACGGCCCTCGTTGCACCTGAGCGACAATAAAGAAAATCAAATGTAATACTTATTTACAGTAGATATTGATAGGGAGGACTGCATAAAAGACTGCCTGTGTAGAATATTCAGACACAAACAGATGCAATACACCTGAAAACAGTTACATACCAATGGACCACAGAAATAGATGTACAACGAATTATACATACAGTATCAAACATCATACTGTACAGTATCTCTATGCCATGGACAATATTACAATATGGAAGGTAAATAAGGGTTAAGATCTTCTGCCTTTGAAACATAAGTGCCTTACCTGCAGGCTCCACATTCATATGTCCCGTTGCCGTTGTGGCAGATTTCACTGTTCTCGATGCCGTCTTTGTGACAGTCACATTCACAGATGAAGTTCAGAGCAATCTCCACCTCCTCGGTGAACCCTAGGGGTTTGATCTTGATGGTCTCTGGTTTGCCCATCTTAGGACACTGCTTAGCTGTGATGCTTATGGTGAAAGACACCTACAGATAAGTGATGAAAGAATTCATTCACATTAAGGGCATAATAATCACATTTCATAATAAAAAAGCAATGCATTTGACTACTCTGACATCTAATAAGGGACAAATCCAATGCAATTGGTCAGAAAACTGAAATAACTGAACCCGAAATATGAAAAAAATATATTTAGACTAGAAAACAATCAATGGAGGATGTTTTGGTTCCCCACCTCGTCCCCGATGGAGATGTTGGAGCATTTTCTTCCCATCTCTCCCTCACCAGTCACTCCGTTCTTGCAGCGTGACTGGTACGTGATGGTAACTCCCTCTGCCAGCTTACTGTTCTCCAGAATCACCTCTGAGGAAAGAGACTACCACACAAAGAACAAGAGTTAGCCCACTGTAAATTGAAAATATACTAAATATTCAGTAATCTACAGTTTTTAAAATGTTGTTTTTTTCCCATACAAAGACCAGTTCAGACAGAGACGTGATGACTTTATGGTAACAGCAGCATGGTTTTTGCCAACTATTTTAAGGCTGAAAGTAATAAAGTGAGAGTGTGCAGCACTGTATATTGTCTAGTAACCAATCCAATTCAATCTATACTTACATTGTAGGCATCAATAATGAGGTTGATAACATTGCTGGAGTTTGCAGAGAGTGTCCCCACCGCAGACTTAGGAATGAGATTCTTCAACTCCTGAGTAGAGAGAAAACACAGTAGAGTAAATTATAATTTACTAGTATGTCAATATGAATCCTGTAGATCTCTAAATAATCACGGCACCAGAAAAGTTGTTCAGAGCAAAACTGTTTTGTTTTGCCTGACCCATTTAGATTGGTGAGTAGTTTGATTGTGGTCTGCAAACACATAGTGGTAAGGTCTGAATCTAAAGGTTAAACTATTTACAGTGTTGTGACATTCTAACAGTGGAATCAAATAAACAAAGACCTTCTCCCGAGGTTGACAAACATTGTCCAAGCATTGGACTGATGTGGATATGATAAAGGAATATTATCGAACTCCAGGCAGACATCTAATTGGCTTGAAAAGCAGTAGAGGGCAGAAGGGAACATTCAGAGGCTTGTGTCCCAAATGGCACCCTATTCCTTATATAGTGCACTACAAAAGTAGAGCAATATATAGGGAAATGGTTGCCATTTGGGACAACCAGAGATCCAAAGAGACGTTACTAGTAACAAGGAGCAGATGCTGCAGAGCAAAGGTAAATGTTTCTCTGCTCTTCAAAGGGCTGGGCTTCCTCCAACCTCCAACAGAGAAGCACAGAAACTTGGAAATAAATGTTTTTCCACACACACACTGGAACAACTGACTGACCTTGTAAACAGGCTGGAACTCCTCTGTGATGGCAAAGATTGTCTGGATGTTGTTGTCACTTAATTTCTGAACCAGGTGGGCGATGGAGGGGTAGTCCTGTTACAGGACAACAATAAGGAAGTACAGGTACCAGGTTAGCCCTTTGATGACATAACTAAGGGCAAGTAGCCCTTCCCTTCAAATCTTGTCATATTCAAAATACAGACCACACAGAAGACGACAAAGAAAAAGCCACAATAAATACAGTACATAGCAGTGTATTATTTAAGAAATAATGTGAATTGTAATAATGAATTATAGTGTGACAACTCCCGACAAGGGCTGTTCTGAGGCCCGGAGTGAAGCCATAATTCCTGGGTTCGAGGGTTCGAGGGCATTATTGCTTTTATATAACGGTTGTCAACATATTTATAAAAATATTAATGACATTTTTTCATTAAACAATTACTTTAACAAGTACATTTGTTTTTGCATTCTGAAGTTGCTACCCAAGCAGGCAGGTTGTTAGTTATTTTCTCATGTTTTGACACAGTCGTTAATTCTATTCATTCGACATTGCTATGCTAAACAAATCATTGGCATGTAGCTAGCTAGCAGAGATTCAATAATGATAAGAGACAATAACTTCAAAAAATAATGGCTTAATACTGTAAACATCCAATAGGCCTACATAGGCAACAACTATTATGGTTGGCGAGTCCGAGCTAACCAAGCTGGTGATGTTAATAGTGACGTTTCCGTTGATGGCACATGAGTGGAAGAACTGTCCATGCTCCTGGCGCTTGTTGATGACAGCCAGTACTTGTCTCTTAGGCGGAGAATGGGACATACCTCTCACATTGTTGGCAGTTAAAATGGCACTCCAGCGGTTTTTGTTCTCCATGTTAGGCTGTCAATAACTCTTGTGTGACACCTTATATTTTGGTTTTGTTTGTAGGCTAGTAGCTGCACTGTGCTGGTTAATGAATGTATGGACTTCTGTTTATGGTTTCCATGGTGAATTATTCGTTTCCCGTTCATTCTGGGGCTAGCTAGCCTACTGGCACGGGAGAGATCGCATTTGTAAAATGATACATTGTTGCACAGGTCGTAGAGGCAGACAGATAGGTTTATACAACAACCCCCAACTGTTGCAAACCAAATAGTAGCATGGAAAAATTGTGTAGACACTTTTTTCCTGAGGGAGATGAAGTTAATGAATTTCCTGCCTGGGCTATGGGACAGTGGAATTATGACATTAACACATCATGGTATTTTGCAGGAGTTGTTGTCCCACAACGACTGCATACCAACCAATCAGCATCCAGGATCCAAACAACCAGTTTTATAATACACTACATTATGTATTATTATACATACATAGTAGTGGCTCATGGTGTACATGTTGTTCTCCAGGTGGCATTTCCCATCGTTGGGCAGAACGATCCCTCCCAGTTTCCCATCTCCAGCGAAGTGGAAGCCAGCATCAGTGGAAAACACCAGCAGACGGGTGACGTTCCTCCAGCCAATGTGCTCCTGGGAGGAGGGAGAGAGAGAGAGGCCCATTAAAACTCATTGTAAAAATAAACAACATACAGAAAAAGGACACAGCTTACAGAAATACCAGAGAATAAAATTACAAGACATAGGAAAGATTCAGGAAATATATGTAAAAAAACTATGAACAGCTATGTGAGAGGTTAGCCCCTTAAAATAGCAGTTTAGTACCCTAGAGTGAATGAACTCTCAAACATTGAGGTTTTATAAAATGGCCTTCTCTTAGCCTCCAGTTAGCCTCCACTCCAGCCATTCTCAAATGAGAATAGGGTGTTGAGGTCTGGTACCACGAGACCAATTCACAGTCAATATAAATATACTTACTTACTTAGTCCTCTTTGTCCTGAGTCAATATAAAACCCTGATACAAATTATTATTTGAACCATATATACTATAATAAAAACATAATACTTACACCACAGACAGCCACTTGCATGATGGCATCAAAACCTCCCTCTGGTGAGTCCAGGTTTCCAGAGATCTGCTGTTGTCCCACCAGGGTGTTGAACTCCTGTCCATTGCTGGTCAGCTTCAGGACGTTCTTATAGCTGAAGGGACTGGTGCAGTTCTGGTCCCCAGTACAGGGGTTCAGCAGCTTGGCTGGGGTGGTGCTTATGTAAGGCATCACCGTCTTCTCAACGAAGGAACCAAAACCTAGAAAATAAGAAAAGATATCCAGCCCACATATAAACTGTATTGGTAAGGAGACAGGACACCAATTTGTTAGCTTCAGAACATCTTTACTAAGATAAAACCAGATATGTTACAAATGACATTATGGGTATTGTAGTACACCCAACCAGCACTGAAAGCAGAAGAGATCAAGTTGTCGTAAAGAAGAAATTCAAAGAAATATGGACATCCTCATTCCGGGGCGGATTCATAATCTTACCGATTCTGAAATCAGATGTGATCTTTGACATCTCCAGCATCAGCTGTGTTCCCAGGTTCTTGACATTTTCTAAATCATCCTTCATTGAGTAGGAGAGGTCCATCAGGTAGTAGAGGTCGATGGGGTAATCCTCAGCTCGTTTGAACTTCAGATTAAAAGACTGTGGTTCACCTACAGTACACAGACAGATAGGCAAGGTTAAACCAGGGACTATGGATGAAAATTAGCACTTTTGCTAACTCCGGCACATTTACATTGATGTCAACACTGAAATGTTGATTAAAGTGCATTGTCCATGTCAAATACGCCTCTGGCACAGAAGAGTACAAGGAGCACTCCTTCCTTCCACATCATAATAACAGCTGTACAGTTGATAGATTAAACTCTCAAAGAAAATGGAGGATACTGTAACTAATCAACATTACAGTGAAAGACCAAAGAAAATATCAGAAAACAGCAACCCTCAGCAACGTTCCTTCAACAATGGTCAAACGGGAAGTTATGGCTGAAACAAACTTAACTAAGACTGCGTCCCAAATGGCACCCTTTTCCCAATATAAGGCACTACTTTTGACCAGATCGGAAAGTAGTAGAACTAAATAGGGAAAGGGTGCCATTTGGGATGCAACCTTATCAAACTATCAAAGTTCCCACCAGATCTGAGGCTGAGGGTGAGTTTCTGGGGCTGGATCTGTGTGATATCCTCTGGTCTGAGTTTCTTTGCTCCCTTGTTGCGGTTGGTCACAGCCTTGTTCTTCAGGACCCGATGGCTGCCTCTGGGGTTCTCTACCTTGGCGGCACCGCAGCCTCTCTTCCTCAGGGACTCAAGCTCGTCACAGCGGGTCGACGTGGCCTCACCCTGCTTAAGGAACTCCTGGGGGAGAGGGAGGAGAGGAGGTTAATCAGTATCATGACAAATTGCATTATGGCACTCAGAGGAAATCCACCCAAAATGTAAGGTCCTTATTTTCTGAAAATATATTTCCTACACTCCAAAGCAGGTTATAAAGGTTATAAACAAAATTGCCTTATACACTAGTGTTGTAATTCCAAGGGACAGTTTAGATGACATACTTCTTTCCTTGATTGCATACACCTGCAAGTTCTAACGCTGAGTCAAATACAGTAACAATGCAGTAACAAAGTTATTGACAAATTCAAATCCACATACTGGGTCTGTGCACCATCCACATTTCGCTCCCACTTGAATACACTCCCCACAGGACTTGGCATTGGCCTTGATGCACTCGTTCCCTTCTGAAAAAAATTAAATGTTGAAGAGAAGCAAACTCATTATAAACTCCTAAAGACTAAGCAGGCAAAAAGCCCCAGTATTTACACATTTGGAATTAGGAAAACTGTGTGGCTCAGAGAGAACAGTAATTGGAGCCAGAGACAGAACGGAATATTCCGCTGTTCCATAGGTCCATGATGTCCTCACGACTATGCTCCAAAAAGCCTAGGTGAAGCTGCTTCTTCTTCTGGCTAATGACATCATTACATTACAGCAGCATGCTCGCTCTGCTTCGACTCACCCATGGAACATCAGGCTATTAGTCACCATTCTGTATTGTATGTAGGCCTACATCGTTTATGATATATTATGATTAGATGATGTACTGTGTAGTCAGTGTACAGAAACAGAATACTGATGTTACTGTTGAGGATTGATTTTGTCTAACAAGGTGGAACTTAAAGTAAGTAGGACAGAAACTTGAGATAAGATGGAGAGAGAATAATTGTACCTTGCTGAGCACTGCTGTAACAAATTACTCCTAACAATGTTGATATCAGAAGTAGTTTCAGGTCCATCTGAAAAATAAAACAGATACAACATCATGAGTGAGGATACATTTAAAGTTAGCAGTGAATACTGTTTTTGTTTACATTTGTAGTACAATAAAAGACATGAGACTTTTTGAATTAGTTTACATTTGTATTACCATAGAAGGCATTAGGTTTAGTGACTTAATGGATACCAGTTAATTGATATAGCCTTAGGGCCCAGAGTTCTTGCTGGTCAGGTGGTCACATGGTCTGGAGCCCTATATAGTGCCTTCAGAAAGTATTCACACCCCTCAACATTTTGTTGTGTTACAGACTGAATTTAAAATGGATTAAATTGAGATTTTGTGTCACTGGCCTACACACAATAACTCATAATGTCAAAGTGGAATTATGTTTTTAGAAATGTTTACAAAGTAATAAAAAAGTGAAAAGCTGAAATGTCTTGAGTCAATAATTATTCAACCCATTTGTTATGGCAAGCCTAAATAAGTTCAAGGGTCAAAATGTTCTTAACAAGTCACATAATAAGTTGCATGGACTCACTCTGTGTGCAATAATAGTGTTTAACATTATTTTTGAATGACTACCTCATCTCTGTACCCCAAACATACAATTATCTGTAAGGTCCCTCAGTCGTGCAGTGAATTTCAAACACAGATTCAACCACAAAGACCAGGGAGGTTTTCCAATGCCTTGCAAAGGGCACCTACTGGTAAATGTGTAAAAACCTAAAAAAAGACTTTGAATATATATCCCTTTAAGCATGGTGAAGTTATTTAAGTTGTGTCAATATACCCAGTCACTGCAAAGACACAGGCATCCTTCCTAACTCAGTTTCCAGAGAGGAAGGAATCCGCTCAGGGATTTCACCATGAGGCCAATTGTGACTTTAAAACAGTTACAGAGTTTAATGGCTGTGATATGAGAGACAAAACATGCATCCTGTTCGCAATAAGGCACTAAAGTAAAACTGCAAAACATGTGGCAAAGAAATTCACTTTATGACCTGAATACAAAGCGTTATGTTTAGGGCAAATCCAACACATCACTGAGTACCACTCAAGCATGGTGGTTGCTGCATCAGGTTATGGGTATGCTTGTCATCAGCAAGTACTAGTGAGGTTTTTTTTGTTTAAAAAGATTAACGTAATAGAGCTAAGCACAGGCACAATCCTAGAGGAAAACCTGGTTCAGTCTGCTTTCCAACAGACACTGGGAGACAAATTCACCTTTCAGCAGGACAATAACCTAAAACACAAGGCCAAATATACACTGGAGTTGCTTATCAAGACGACATTGAATGTTCCTGAGTGGCCTAGTTACAGTTTTGACTTAAAATCGGCTTGAAAATCTATGGCAATTCTTGAAAATGGCTGTATAGCAATGGTCAACAACCAACTTGACAGAGCTTGAAGAATTTTAAAAAGAATAATGTGCAAATATTGTACAATCCAGGTGTGCAAAGCTCTTAGTCTTACCCAGAAAGAATCACAGCTGTAATCGCTGCCAAATGTGATTCTAACATGCATTGACTCAAGAGTGTGAATACTTAAGTAATTTAGATATTTCTGTATTTCATTTTAAATAAATTAGCAAAAATGAAGATTTTTCTTTTTCACTTTGTAATTATGGAGCATTGTGTGTAGATGGGTGATTTGTAAAAATATTTAATCCATTTTGAATTCAGGCTGTAACAACAAAATGTGGAATAAGTCAAGGGATATGAATACTTTCTGAAGGCACTGTATATTAAATATATAATCAGTAACTGTATTAACTCATGACGTGGTCCATGACGATGGTCGCATGTCACGAGCCGTGGAAGCCGAAGACAGCGACCTCCCGCAAAGCAGTCTACAGTCGTGGTCAAAAGTTTTGAGAATGACACAAGTATTGGTCTTCACAAAGTTCGCTGCTTCAGTGTTATGAGATATTTTTGTCAGATGTTACTATGGTATACTGAAGTATAATTACAAGCATTCCATAAGTGTCAAAGGCTTTTATTGACAATTACATTAAGTTTATGCAAAGAGTCAATATTTGCAGTGTTGACCCTTCTTTTTCAAGACCTCTGCAATCTGTCCTGGCATGCTGTCAATTAACTTCTGGGCCACATCCTGACTGATGGCAGCCCATTCTTGCATAATCAATGCTTGGAGTTTGTCAGAATTTGTGGGTTTTTGTTTGTCCACCTGCCTCTTGAGGATCGTCCACAAGTTCTCAATGGGATTAAGGTCTGGGGAGTTTCCTGGCCATGGACCCAAAATGTCGATGTTTTGTTCCCCGAGCCACTTAGTTATCACTTTTGCCTCATGGCAAGGTGCTCCATCATGCTGGAAAAGGCATTGGTCGTCACCAAACTGTTCTTGGATGGTTGGGAGAAGTTGCTCTCGGAGGATGTGTTGGTACCATTCTTTATTCATGGCTGTGTTCTTAGGCAAAATTGTGAGTGAGCCCACTCCCTTGGCTGAGAAGCAACCCCACACATGAATGGTCTCAGGATGCTTTACTGTTGGCATGACACAGGACTGATGGTAGCGCTCACCTTGTCTTCTCCGGACAAGGTGTTTTCCGGATGCGCCAAACAATCGGAAGGGCGATTCATCAGAGAAAATGACTTTACCCCAGTCCTCAGCAGTCCAATCCATGTACCTTTTGCAGAATATCAGTCTATCCCTTATGTTTTTCCTGGAGAGAAGTTGCTTCTTTGCTGCCCTTTTTGACACCAGGCCATCCTCCAAAAGTCTTCGCCTCACTGTGCATGCAGATGCACTCACATCTGCCTGCTGCCATTCCTGAGCAAGCTCTGCACTGGTGGTGCCCCGATCCCGCAGCTGAATCAACTTTAGGAGACAGTCCTGGCGCTTGCTGGACTTTCTTGGGCGCCCTGACGCCTTCTTCACAACAATTGATCCTCTCTCCTTGAAGTTCTTGATGATCCGATAAATGGTTGATTTAGGTGCAATCTTACTAGCAGCAATATCCTTGCCTGTGAAGCCCTTTTTGTGCAAAGCAATGATGATGGCACGTGTTTCCTTGCAGGTATCCATGGTTAACAGAGGAAGAACAATGATTTCAAGCACCACCCTCCTTTTAAAGCTTCCAGTCTGTTATTCTAACTCAATCAGCATGACAGAGTGATCTCCAGCCTTGTCCTCTCACCTGTGTTAACGAGAGAATAACTGACATGATGGCAACTGGTCCTTTTGTGGCAGGGCTGAAATGCAGTGGAAATGTTTTTTGGGGATTAAGTTCATTTTCATGGCAAAAAGGGACTTTGCAATTAATTGCAATTCATCTGTTCACTCTTCATGACATTCTGGAGTATATGCAAATTGCCATCATCAAAACCGAGGCAGCAGACTTTGTGAAAATTAGTATTTGTGTCATTCTCAAAACGTTTGACCAAGACTGTACACTCCCAACGAGTGGCCTGGAGCAAATACAAAACAACGAATAGTTTCGCCGTCCTCGAGCCTGATCTTCCTGCCCCTTCGTCGCTGGGGGTGCCTGTGTCTGCGGCCGCAGTGCCTACTACTACGATTTCGAAGTCGACGTCGGCAACCTTCCGTCCCTGCTCTGGATCGAGCAGGGATTCTCCATATGTCGGAGGCCTGCATCCTGTGAAGCGTGGGAGTGGGCGGATTTCCTCGTCCTTCTCGCCAGCCGTGATTTTGGGCAGCTCCATGGTAAGAAATGTGACCGTTCCTGGTGCAAAAACAATGTCCTATCCCGGAGCTCGAGTAAATTACATTACTAAGCTGCTCCCGAATGTACTACGTCAGGACATGGAAATTGATTCTATCGTAGTCCATGTGGGTTTTAATGACATTATGAAGGGCAGCTCTGAACAGCTGAAACTGGATTTTAAAGAGCTGATTGACACTAACAAAAAACCCATCATATCTGGCCCTGTGCCCTCTCTGAATCGTGGCATTGAACGCTTTAGCAAGATTCTTGCTCTTCACAACTGGCTACGTGATTATTGCAGCTCAATGGGTGTAACTTTTGTTGACAATTTCGATACCTTTTGGGAACAAAACACGTTTTATAAGGAGGATGGGATCCACCCAAATCATTTGGGTTCCTGGACCCTTTCACAGCATTATAAGGCTGCATTGAGACAATGACTTAACAATGACCCAAGCCCAGCTCAGCTAATCCCTACCATTGTGACACAGAGTTGTCAAAATGCTTCAGCAAATGTACATTACATCAGGGGCGTTGGTAGACACAATATAAGTAACCTAATTTATGTCCCTCTAACTGCCTTGTGTGCAGTAATCATGTGCCTAAGAACCAGATTTATACTGTTAGCACTGAGCCGGTGTCCCAGAGGAGGCAGTCCACTGTGTGCAGCTCACCCTGCACTAACATAAAGAACATGAGCACATATAATGCTGCTAAGCTTCCCAGTAAAGCAAGATAAACAAGTAAGCATCCCAGAAGAAAAGTGCTCAAAATAGC